ACTATAGTCTTTGATGGACGCCAAGGCCAAATTTTTCTCAAAAGGGAAAAGCAGGTGCCCTAGCTGGTTGGCTCAGTGGCTGTAGCGTCAGCCTGTGGACTGGAAGGGTCCTGGTTTGATTCTGGTCAAGGGCACATGTCCAGGTTACTAGCTCTGGAGGGCATGCAGGAAGTAGCTGAATCAATTATTCCCTCTCATCATTGATGTTTCTATCTCTCTCTCTCCCTCTCCCTACCTCTCTGAAATAAATGAAAATATATTTTTAAAAATACAGTAGTTCCTCTTTCAACAGGCACCCGCCACCATGGGCCGCGTTCGCACCAAGACCGTGAAGAAGGCGGCCCGGGTCATCATCGAGAAATACTACACGCGCCTGGGCAACGACTTCCACACCAACAAGCGCGTGTGCGAGGAGATCGCCATTATCCCCAGCAAGAAGCTCCGGAACAAGATCGCGGGCTATGTCACGCACCTGATGAAGCGGATCCAGAGGGGCCCCGCGCTGCGGGCGCGCGTTTGCAGGGAGCCCGGGTGGGACTGGAGCGTGTTGGTGTCATACCTGGGGCGGTGACACCTGGCCGCGGCCAGGCCTCCGGGAGACTGAGTATTAATTGCAGTCCATGGGGAGGAGAGGAAACGAAGACTGGGGAGGGGTCCTGGGAGTCTGAGGGGAGGAATTGATGCGTTGGCAGAACTTGATAGAGGGTGGCAGGCAGGCAGGCGCTGTGTGTCGCTGTCGGAGTCGGGGCTCCTAGGACGGGGGTCCTCTCCCTTCTCACGGAGGAACAAGCCCTAAAACGGCTGCGGGAATGTCCGGATGCAGCGTGCACGGGCGTTCTCAGTGTCGGGGGGTGCTTGTGCTGCAGCTATGTCACGCACCTGATGAAGCGGATCCAGAGAGTATACTAAGAAAATATGGTAAAAAAATATGGTTTATAGGAAGACGAGTTACAAACTGTTTTCATAACCAGCATCAAAAATACTATATAGAACCAAAATAAAAAAATTAGTCTGAAAAAGAAACGTTTTTAACAAAAATATTGTTGGGGAAGGGGTTTTAATCTCGGTTCTGCCCTGTTGGGGCCATTTTTTGGGGGGTACATTTTTAAATTTATTTCAGAGAGGAAGAGAGAGGCCATCAACCCTCACCCAGCTGCGGGCGCCCGCAACCTGCCTGCCTGGATGTTAACCCCTTCCCCGGCAGAAACGTGTATACACGTTTTCACAAAATGTTCTTTTTCAGTCGTCGACGAGTATACTAAGAAAATATGGTAAAAAAATATGGTTTATAGGAAGACGAGTTACAAACTGTTTTCATAACCAGCATCAAAAATCCTATATAGAACCAAAATAAAAAAATTAGTCTGAAAAAGAAACGTTTTTAACAAAAATATTGTTGGGGAAGGGGTTTTAATCTCGGTTCTGCCCTGTTGGGGCCATTTTTTGGGGGGTACATTTTTAAATTTATTTCAGAGAGGAAGAGAGAGGGGGAGAGAGAAGCGTCCGTGATGAGAGAGAATCATTGATCGGCTGCCTCCTGCACGTCCCCTACTGGGGATCGAGGCCGCAACCCAGGCATGTGCCCTTGATTGGACTCGAACCCGGGACCCTTCAGTCCGCAGGCCGGCGCTCTATCCACTGAGCCAAACCGGCCAGGGCTGTAGGGGCCATTTAAGTCCATCCTGGTTTTCACCTGAGAGCCCTTCGTCATGTTTGCTTGCCTTGCCACAGCTTCTGGTTTGATTGCTTGCCTTAGCACAGTGTTCCCAAAACATGAACATAGTCTTAAGGTTTCCGGAATGCCGGTAAGAGAATAACGAAGGGCGCATACAAGGTGAACCCAGAAGTGGTCTTTGGGGCCTGTGATCCTTAAGCCGACTGCTCTCCTAGTGGGATCCTGTCTCCTTTGCAAGGGCCCCTCTTTTTTGCTTAGGAATGTTGGCGAAAGGGCAGGGAAGGTGAGAGAGAACTCAGTGATGGTATTTGGCGGGGTCCTGTTCTTCTAGGTCTCGGCCCTGGATCAGGAGATCATTGAAGTTGATCCTGACACTAAGGAAATGCTGAAGCTCTTGGTAAGCATGTGCTGGGTTCCTAAAGTCGGGCTTCCCGGTGGCATCCTCTGTCTGTAACAACACCAGGTGTTCTCCGTGTTCTCCAGACATTATTTTCTTTCGACCTCAGTTCTGTGGCTGGCTCCTCACATTTGCCCCCATGGTTCTTTTTCATTATGTGGGCTTTCCCTCGGGGGCTTCATTTCTTCCTTTTTTTTAAAAAAAATTATCTTTATTGTTGAAAGTATTACAAATGTCCCCTTTTTTCCCCCCCATTGGACTCCCCAACCCTGACTTCCTTCCTTCCTTGTCTGTACGCTGACCACTTGAGTGAGCTGTGGTCTCATTTCCAGATGCTTAATACAAGGCACTCCTCAGAGAGCTCAGATGTCTTCAGTACAGGTTGATGTGTGTCTCTTCCGTGGCTTATCTTAGGCCTTTTGACATAGTTGCTGATGGCCTAGGGCTGCCATTTGGTCCTGGAAAGGAGGTGGCTCTGTGAATGCCTAGAGAAATGATTCGAAAAGGGAGAGAAACATACCTCCACTCCTACCCCAGGACATTTGGTAATGTCTGGACACACTTTTTCTTTTTTAATATAGTTTTATTGAGGAGTGGAGAAGGAGAGAGCGATAGAAACATCAGTGATGAGAGAGAGTCATTGATCGGCTGCCTCCTGCACGCCCCACATGGGATCTCCCACCACTGGGGATCCAGCCCACAACCTGGGCATGTGCCCTGACCTGGTTCATAGGTCAGTGCTCAGGCACTGAGCCACGTTGGCTGGGCTGGACACGTTTTTTCATTGTCACAGCTGGGGGATCCGAGCAGACACTAGTGGATAGAGGGCAGGGGTGTTGCTAAGCATCCGACAGCGCGCAGGACAGCTTCCTAGCTGCTGCCTGTTGGAGTGCAGGGTCCTTTAAGTCATCATTCTGGGGTGGGGAGGAGAACGCCCTGCAAGCGGGTGGAGGCCGAGAAGCAAGGCTCCCTTGTGGTCCTGGGAGCCAAGACCACAGATCTCACTGAACCCATTTTGTTGTTCCAGGACTTCGGCAGTCTGTCCAACCTGCAGGTCACTCAGCCCACAGTTGGGATGAATTTCAAAACACCGCGTGGAGCCGTTTGAATCTTTTGCTATGCTGTAATATTATCAATAAACCACGGACACCTTGCCCTTGTCGTCTGTGGGGTTGGGTGCTGGTTGGAGCGAAGGGGAGGAGTTCCTTATCAAGGAAGGGAGAGCCTGCTGGCAGCGCCCTGGGTAGATGGCTCTGACCTTGGGTCCGCTGAGGCTGTGGGTCCTACTGTGTGCATGGGGAGGGGCGAGCACTGGGGTGGGCGTCCCTCGAGTCGTGGGGAGAAGTGTGTTCTGCACACTTGTCTGCTTTTTACCGCTGATGCTGGTCTGGGTGTGTTTATGCCCTGCATGTGTGTGGGTCTGCTGTCCACGGATCCCCGTACTCCTGCTTCTGTGAGACGGGTGTGGCAGACATTCTAAGTCTTGTAATTTCAAACGGGGGAAAAGCTGCAAGAACAGTGCAAAGGAGCTTCAAAATGTTCTACCTAGATCTTTCAGTTATATTTTGCCCCAATTGCTTTATATTCTCTGTATATGTGCTTTTTCCTGATTCTTAGTGCTCAGGAGAATGTATGCATAGACAGGTGCCCCTTTGTTGTTGATTTCAGAGACAAAGATAGAAACATCAATGATGAGAAAGACATTGATTGGCTGCCTCCTGCACACCCCCCACTGGGGACCAAGCCTGCAACCTGAGCATGTGCCCTTGCCCAGAATCAAACTTGGGACCCTTCAGTCCATGAGCAGATGCTCTATCCACTGAGCCAAATCAGCTAGGGCTGGTTGGCAAATCTCTGCTCGTGAGCCACATGTGGCTATTTGGCCCCACAAAATACCACGTGTGGGCACGCATGTACAGTGCGATTGAAATTTCGTGGCCCATGCACAGAAGTCGGTATTTCGTGGAAGAGCCACACTCAAGGGGCCAAAGGGCCGCATGTGGCTCGCGAGCCGCAGTTTGCCGACCACTGGGCTAGGGCGACAGGTGCCCTTTTGATACCAGAGACGGAGGAAGAGATAGAAACATCAATTGGCTGCCTCTAGCATGCCTCCTACGGGGATGGAGACTGCAACCGGAGCATGTGCCCTGACCTGGTTCATAGGTAGATGCCCAACCATTGGGCCACATGGCCTGTAACCATGGGATGATCAAAACCAGGAAATAAGACATTGATTCAATAATTCCATATCCCTTTAGCCTCCTTTCTATGTCATGACTGACATTTTTGAAAAGTATTGGCTGGTTTTGTGGACTGTCCTTCAGTTTGGCTCTGATGTTCCTCACAATTTAACCTAGTTTTCTGTATTACAGGAGGGTGCTGTGTTCTTGGGGCATTTTATGCCGCCCCGTCCCACTTAGTGATTGCTTTGAGCAGTTGTGCTGGCGCATCTAAGTTCCAGTTCCCCTTCGTAAGGTTTTGAGGCTAAGTATCTGTCAACTCTGCTCACTGCTGTTAGCATCACTCCATGTACAGTGGGGCCTTGACTTACGAGTTTAATTTGTTCCAAGACCGAGCTCATTAACTCAAATTACTCTATCAACTCAATGCAAAAAATCTGCCTATAGACAACTGGTATCTCAAAAAACTTGTTAGTCGGGACACTCGTAAGTCAAGGCCCCACTGTACTCTCTTCACTACTATTATAAGGAAGGGCCTTCTCTTATTTACAGCAAACTGGTTTCCATTTTTTGGTGTGGGGTCTGGTATTCCCAACAAATCCTCTTGCCTTTTAAATAACAGCTCTATGAAGCCCTGTGGGCACAGACAATAGGGCGGTGAAGGCCTGGGGCGGAGGAGCAATGGGGGAAAAGAGGGGGACATCTGTCATCTTCAACAATGAAGATTTTTTAAATAGTTTGAAAAGGTCACAAAAGTTTGTTTTTGTTTTGTTGTCTAAGAAAAGCCTCCCCTCTCCCCCTTAGGTTTTTGGTGTCCGTGGTGAGGAAAGGGTGGCCTTTTGGTGCAGATGACCCATGAGAGCCAGGGTAACGAGATCAACCCTGAAACTAGCGACGCTGTCCGCCACACTCGCCACCAGGGGGCAGTGTGCTCACATCGCTGCCTCACCTGCGGGCCGGCGCCCCGGGTCCCTGAGGGGCGGGGAGGTGGGGAAGGGGCAGGCCCCGTGCCGCCAGAAAGTGCTGTATAGGCGCCTGCGGAGGAGCCTCCGGGCCTCTGCCCTCACCTGGGGACCCCGGCGCGCTCACTAACTTCCGGTGGGGCTTGTTAAAGCCGACGCAGCCCCGCGCCCAGAGCTGGCGAGCAGATTGTGTGTTTTTTTAAATCGTCTCACGTTATTTGTGTTTCTTTTCCAAGCGAAGCGACTCACAGCTATAAAATGAACGCATTTAAAAAAAAAAAGAAACTCAATGAGGGAACTGAGGGAAAGGCTCAGGGAAGTGAAGGAAGGCTGAAGTGAATCTGTGAATGACTTCCTGCCGTGCCTGAGGTTGCTGTTCTCCGCGTTGGGTTTTGGGGAGCGGGGGACCCCATTCAAGCGACGGGGGCGAGT